GACAGCTACAGGTGTCGTAACTCGAACAGTCAAAAAATTATACCCACTCGAATGTGATTACTAATAGAATAATACTCGCACTATTACTAATAAATACTAATCATGCTTATAGCAGGTGTGGTGTTAGTAGGTATAAAGTTGTATAAAATTGTATTTTAATTATTATTATTTTAACTTTTTGTTTTGGCCGTTGGAGGATGTTCAGGACTCTTTTGTAAATATGCTTTATGGTTTAGGTATAAAGAAATAATTTGATTTTGATGTAATGATTTTGAAGTAATAAAAATATCTTTTGTTCTATGTCCTAAAATAATTGTTTTAATTTTTCCCGATTTCAAAATACCACGGTGAAATGAGATATTTAAAGGATTAAACCACAACAACGTGAGATATAATCTTCAAGTATTGATAATAATGAATACACAAGTACATACACATCATGAGTTCTGTAACGTACTTATGTCAAAGTAAATATACCATAGCAAACAATTTGAAAAATAATGACACTCGAAACGCTTGTGTGAATTGGCATCATTATTGAATTTATTTGACGACTTTATAATAACGTTTGAAATGTTATGCATTTTACATAATTTGAAACGAGAACGATTTCACACCTACATCATTTGCTGTCTCACTATAAATATTATTTCTGTAATAATGAATAACAATATAATGTTAGATTCATTTTTAGGGTTGCGTAGTAAACAAAGAACCCTTATAGTTGCGCCATGTAGTAGAACTAACTACCTATTGGAACTAGAAAGTTGTAATTTGACATGAGTATGTATATACGTTAATGAGGAAGTATTAAAAAAAAAGTTAGTTCTCGAAAGCAAACTAGATGTCACTAGCGATTTTAGGATAATGACTGTTATATTCATTAAATTTTTTATATTAAATATATTCTTAAGTTCGAAATGACAACTTTTTTGTACTTTGCACAAACGCACAAAGCGGGATGGGGTTAACTCGTACGAGAACTTAATATTATCGGATATCTACATATTCAAAAATGATATTTTTATTATAATTATCGCATTTTATCTGAACTTTTTTACTGATTAATAAACCCCATTCATTCATTCACCACACATATTATGAAAATATTGTTGAGACATGATGTAGTTTTTTTCAACTAACAACTAAGAGCAATAAAATTAACTAACCTAGTTGTTTTGTTTTCAGAACTTTTGTTAAATATTGTAATAAAAAATTCCTGCTACCATACTATGCCATATGAATTAAAAAAAAAACTATGTCACGTTAATATTATTATTTAGCGTATCGAAATACTATTTTTTATAATTTCGTAGATTTCAATAGCTTTTAAAAATCGTTCTCCTTGCTCACTTACCTGTGTAAAAATAAAAAAGTAATTTATTCAAAGCTCCGTTCATAGTACTCAATCGAGTTGCGTTTAACACAAATTAATTGAATTTAGACTCGAATTTGTAAGAGTTATCAAATCCATAGCAGCATGACAATGGGGAATTATTAAAAAAAAATTGTTCCCGAAATCAAACTAATGTCGCTATGGTAGGTTCTGATTTCTCCATGACAACCCTTCCGGTGTTCTTTCATGTTAAAAAATAAATTAGTTTACAAAACTCAATAAACAACTCATATTCTATATGTACTTTTTCGTATTTGTATTGATATCTAAGTTTCGAACTTTTCAAATTTCAGTTTTTTAACATGTTAGTTAAAAAGAACGGAAGTGACTGACTTAGGTCCATTCGTTTCCTGATGATTCAACTTTTGCTAGAGTCGCCATCTAGTGAAAGTGCTTTTTTAGTGCTTTCGTTTTTTTTAAGTACTTCCTCATTCTATTCTAGGGTCGAACGTCATGACCCTACAGATTATGCTGCCATCTAGTGACAAATTTTTTGTAGTTTCTTTATTTTTAAAAAATACTTCTTTCCTCATTACGTCGATAAAGTGGTAAAGTAAAATTAGTAATGGAAAAGTATCCTAAAAAAATGTTTTTATTATGATAGGTACCTCCCGTACTTCTAAATTGGAGATATTTTTTCGTCTTCTATATGGTTGTAACGCCATAAAACCGTTTATTTTCTCCCAGGTTCCAACATGCAAACTTTTTGTCTTTGAAATTCAACATCATTTCTTTTTATTATTCACCTTTCGTAATTTGAAATTTTGATTAATCGAATATACTCTTTGTGGATGTCAGTTCGTAAAAAAATCATCTGCGCTAAACATGTAAATCAACATATTGTGATAAATCGTATAAATTTTAATATAAAAAAAGGGTTTAGCCGGATACGTATGACGAGTCGGCCCCCAAATGGGAATCGATATTGAAACTTATGTTTTAATATCGACTTGATGTTCAAACACGATTTATGTACTTTTCGCGACCGACTTCCGCTTTGACCTTGAGATAGAGAGCAAAATATCCGTATGCTTGACTATTACTGAATGTGATATATCTCTAAAGCTAATTAAGATAAAGAAGTGAAACTAACGCGAGGTGTTAGGTTACATTACAGATTATATCACATATATTTTTTTATAATTTTTAGAATAAAAAATTACATTTAAAAAATAAAAAATAAAAAATCATGTTTTTTTTTCTGAGTTCTCTGTGACTTACAATCACGACATTAATATATGTTATGCTCCTTTGTGTGCTCTATTACCCATAAAAATTGCGTGAAAAAAAAGTTGGTGCAACACAACGAAAAAAAATTATATGTGATTTCTGTCTTATGGTATACCCCTGTATTATAAGGTTTTCACATAACATATTGTTTTTTTTTTTCGAAATTTCACATCAGCTTGTTTTAAAACATAAGTAACTAGTCTTAAGAGATGGGATAATAGTTAAAAAAGAAATGAAAAAAAAACAGCCAGTGTTCAATACTTATTATTATTACTTTTTCGTGTCTATCAAAATACAAGAAACAAAATATTAATCATCGTCACTGTTGTAATTAATTACAATCGGAACACTCCTTGAGTCGCAAATAAATTAGTTAGGACCTCAGCAGGACGTACGATTTTGGACAAATATCATCCATATGATAGATAATAAATAATAGCTGCTACATGAGAACAGCATCCCACTGTACATTTGCCATTGGGGCAATCACAGCAATAACGAAGAATACTATTGTAGTCATTACCTTCGGAAATATAGTGAATGTAAATTCGATAGATTTTTCTATTTATATGTCTTGATTTTACTTCTGCTTTGATGATATTAGGTGCTGATTTCACATATTGTACTGAGAGATTATTTTGATCGTCCATTATTTCGGCCAAGTTAAATGCTGCACATTTAGAAGTAGAAGCTTTTTTGTTAATATATGGGATAAGTCGATACTTCTTACAAAAAATATCATTAACTATTACGACTTTCACTAAACACTTTAGCTTCTTCTTCATTCTTTATAATTTTTTTATAACCAGGAATCTTACTAACTAACTAAGTTATTTGCGACTCAAAGTGTTCCGATTGTAATTAATTACAACAGTGACGATGATTAATATTTTGTTTCTTGTATTTTGATAGACACGAAAAAGTAATAATAATAAGTATTGAACACTGGCTGTTTTTTTTTCATTTCTTTTTTAACTATTATCCCATCTCTTAAGACTAGTTACTTATGTTTTAAAACAAGCTGATGTGAAATTTCGAAAAAGAAAACAATGATGTTATGTGAAAACCTTATAATACAGGGGTATACCATAAGACAGAAATCACATATAATTTTTTTTCGTTGTGTTGCACCAACTTTTTTTTCACGCAATTTTTATGGGTGATAGAGCACACAAAGGAGCATAACATATATTAATTTCGTGATTGTAAGTCACAGAGAACTCAGAAAAAAAAACATGTTTTTTTATTTTTTTATTTTTTTGATATAATTTTTTATTCTAAAAATTATAAAAAAATATATGTGATATACTCTGTAATGTAACCTAACACCTCGCGTTAGTTTCACTTCTTTATCTTAATTAGCTTCAGAGATATATCACATTCAGTAATAGTCAAGCATACGGATATTTTGCTCTCTATCTCAAGGTCAAAGCGGAAGTCGGTCGCGAAAAGTACATAAATCGTGTTTGAACATCAAGTCGATATTAAAACATAAGTTTCAATATCGATTCCCATTTGGGGGCCGACTCGTCATACGTATCCGGCTAAACCCTTTTAAAACAATTGTCAATAATGATTAATAATAGGACATTGTGATAGAAATTATATATATAACATAGTGAATTGTAATCTGTAACGTGGACGATCCAAGTTTTTATCAAGAAACCCAAAAAGGGGTATGTATTCGTTATATTTGGTAATTTAAATTTTATATTTAGTTTAACAAATGTACTATTTTTATATTCATTTTTTGTTTGTTACAGTTTTTTTTACTTTATCGTTTATACTATTAATAAATCCATACTCAAGCTAGTCAGCCTATCATTAATTGGTCACATCGATCCTGTCACATGGTGTTCAATAGGTCTTTCAAAAACATTGGGGTGTGGGATGGCTGTTTTTCGCTTTAGTGAACTGTTTGTGATTTATTAAGCTTTAAAGAGCTAGTTTTCGTTAGAGTCAAATGTCCCCTCTCTACCAGCTAAGTGGTCGTTGGTAAAAATTCAAACGTTACTGCAGTAGTACCTATCTACAACGAAGTTTAAAGGAAAACTATCACACTTAAGTTGGCTTGAAAAATATTCGACCAATTGTTTGTTACCTGAAATTTTCTAACAACTCCATAGAAAACAACAAACGTGATTTTTTTTTACTGTTTAATGGATAATGGTACGCAACCCTTCGTGCACGAGTCCGATTCACATTGGCCGATTTTTTTTATATCAACAAGGGGAGGGGAATATACAAGGGTAAAAATATTAAGTTTTTTTATTAGTAGCTTTTTGCGACAAAAAACGGCTAGAATGTTTGGGTTACTTAGTTTTCTAATATTTATTTATTCAATTGAAGCCTTTTAATTTCTTTTTATTTTTAGGGCCCCCTTGCTCCGCCATCGTGGGTTGAACCTATGGAAGCAATAGATAAAGGCGTAGTCTGCCCACAAAATTTAATGTTTATGCCACCGAGCAAAACCATACAGGAAGACTGTCTTGTTGCCAGTATTTATGTACCTAATACAAACTCGAGCAACTTGCCCGTGATGGTTATGGTTCATGGAGGAGCATTTCAGTTGGGGTTTGGAGATGCTGAAACGCCAATACATTTGGTCAACACTAAGAAAATAATAGCTGTGACATTCAATTATCGTGTGGGTATACACGGCTTTTTGTGTTTGGGAACAGAAGATATTCCTGGGAATGCTGGTATGAAAGATCAAGTTGCATTACTTCGGTGGGTAAAAGAAAATATAGTATTCTTTGGTGGAAACCCTAATGACGTCACCATCGCTGGATGCAGCGCTGGTGGAGCCTCAACAGACCTATTAATGATGTCAAAGCTTACAAAAGGTTTATTTCGAAAGGTTATAGCTTTAAGTGGTTCAAATGTTGGAGTATTTGGGGTACAGCTCGATCCATCGAGTAACGCAAGAAATCAAGCGAGAAAATATAACTTCGAAAACGCAGATGACTTAAATGCACTTGAAGAATTTTACAAGACTGCTTCATATGAACTACTCATGTCTGATTCACAATCAGAAAACAAACATTCGTGTGTCATTTTCTCACCATGCATAGAACGTGATGTGGGGCAGGAAAGGTTTTTGGAAGCTGGTCCTGTGGACATATTACAGATGGGGGATTATGTAAGGTATCCGGTTTTATATGGTTTTGCTGAAAAAGAAGGTTTGATCCGGATGTTTCAGTTCGATACTTGGAAGAACGACATGAATAAAAACTTTTCCGAGTTTCTCCCCGCGGACTTAACTTTCAGTGATGCCGAAGAGAGAGAAAAAGTAGCCGCAGAAGTTAAGAAGTTCTACTTTGGTGACCAATTGATCAACGATGACGACATACTTAAGTATGTTGATTATTTTACTGATGTGATGTTCGTATATGGAATGCTGCGGTCAGTAACACTACAAGTCGAAGCAGGCAATCATGAAATGTACCTCCATCAATATTCTTTTGTCCATGATAAAGTACCATTTATATCACACACCAATATTAGAGGAGCTGCTCATTGCTCTCAATCACAAGCTGTTATCGATGAAGATGAAAGAGATCTTTCGGATGAGTATAAGCATATGAAATTATTGATGAGAGAAGTGTGGCTCAATTTTATAATAACTGGGTGAGGCTTTTTGTCGCTACTATTTTAGCAGAGTAGTTTTGAAAACTCTTTATAGTAAGAAATTATGTAGGTACATAGTTTACAGTTTTGTTAAAGTAAAATAGATTTTAGTTTGTACTTTCTTAAAACTTAATTACTTACGTTGCTTATTTACTTCATAATTTTCTTCCCAATGGTAACTATACCTTTATAAAAATACGTTCTAGCAGGTGCCACTAACTTAAATTATAACTAATCTTAAGCATGTAATAAGCTTTTTCTCATCTGCAACTCTTTCAGAAATCCTACACCAGAAGGATTTTCAATGATACCTCGATGGACGCCAGCAAATGCAGACCGATCACCGTGCATGTCTTTTGGGAATATCGCAGAGCTGGTAGAATCAGTTATACCGGAACGAGCTAAATTTTGGGATGAATTATACTCTCTTTACTACCGTCATCCTATGCCACCTTCAGTTTCATTAACATGATAAGTATAAGACTTTGGAATTCACTGCCTTTGAACGTCCGGAGTGCTCCTAACAAATTTGCATTCAAGACAGCAGCTCGCAATTTCTATTATGCTTCAAACAAGATCTCTTGATCTGACCCCTTTTTCGTACGATGTGTTATAGCTATATATATGCATTTATTTATGTATGTATATGTATGTTTATTATTGTATGTATTTTATGTATATTTAGATATAGTTCTTATGCAGAGATATCAATAGCGTATTGTCGCCAAACGCCACTTTAAGTATTGTACTAAATTTACTGGTTGACTGGTAGATAATGCCTCTTTGGCATTAAGTCCGCCATTTGTCTATTTCACTAGGCAATTAAGATTAAATAAAAAAATAAGTAACCATACATAAACAACATTAAATTTTAAATGCAAAGAACATTGCCAGACATTGAAATGACATAAATTTTGGCTTTGAGTTTCTCCAAATTGTTTAAAAGATACTACTACCCACTTATTAAAAACAAGTTTTAAATCCACGTTATGATGTCTAAATCCAAGTTTATTTATAATTTTTTTTTGTCAAATTCAACCGGTATTTGCTTATGAATTGACTCTATTAAACATTTCATAGAAATATTATGAAATGTTTATCATTTAAAGTGTTGTAGGTTAAGGCAATCTTATCCAAGTGGTAGTATTTTTAATGATAGTACAGCTAGAATGTACCTACTATAGATAATCATCTATAATATAAGCCAATGTTTTTAATGTGTTATGATAATAAAATTTTGGGTTTTCTCAGTGGTTAGATGATGATGATAATGAAAAAGAAAAGTTTATTGTTAAATAATACACTTATATAATTTTGTATGATCTTGTTATTGTTTTACGTGATTGCACAAATAGCATATTTTATGTCTTGTCGTATTTTATGTCACAACAATGTTTATCTTTCACAATTTCAATAAATACTTTCATTTGAAATTTGTTTTCATTTGAAGTGAAACGTGCAATAGTAAATCAGCATGTTAAAATTACAATGCTATTCAATATAGGGTTAATCTAAGTAAATTACCTAATATTTATATAATAATATGCGTATCTACTGCCTTGTTTCCCAAACGTCAGTTAAAATTGTGAAACATTAGCGATACAAAAGAATATTCATTAGAGCTTAAAATTGTCATTTAACCTTAATTGATGATTGTGAATTTGGGTATGTCTTTTAAAATTTATTAACGTAGCGTTTTTTTAATGGTAAGATATAAACACTATTTATAATGTGCAAATAAAAAAAGAGGAAGTTTCATGATGTTGATATTATTTTATTTATCACAATATAATAAAAATATAGGTCAAAACAAAATTAAAATCCGTTAAGAAGAAGTAAGTTATATATTAACTTAAACTGTGTGTTTTCTTACGGAACGTCTGTGGCCTTCGCCTCGCCTGTGACGACACCGAACTCGAGATTGTAACACTACAAATTAAATAGAAGTCTTTGCAAATCACTTAATATTTTCTACTTATTGGGTGCTCAGGCGTTGTTTTTTAGTAACTAAGGGATATTTTTATAAAAGACAAACATGTATATATTTTTTAACCTCCAATTGGAAAGATATTACTTTAATATTATGTTTTAAAGATTTTGATGAGTTATCTGCGCATAAAATTGATAATGAGAAAAGCAAAAAAGAGATTAATTTCATGGGCAAGTACTGTATTTATTCGTGTTATATTTCAATAAAAATAATGAAACGTCATTGAACGCGGCCATTTTTGAGTGCATCATTGACACGTAAAGATGTGCAAGTATGATTATCTCGTTGTAACAAGAGTATATTGTATACTGAAGATTCTGATAGGAAGATAAATATTTCTGCTTTCTTCGCGTCCATTGTGGTTGCATTAAAATATTACGCTACCATAATAAATGTTATCTTAAAACGCAATAATGTACGGATATGACGTGTCTAATCATAAAACGTTATTGCTTGTAATGTGTACTAAACTTGTTTTAGATACCAATAACTATACTAAACGGGCAAGTGTGAGTCGGATTCGCACACCGAAGGTTACGTAGAAATATTTGAGGTTTTTGTTAATGCGCTTTATTAATATCTCAGAAAGTGGCTATATCCCGTTAAAACAAGTTTTCGTTGAAAATTTTCATTGGGGTCTAAATATTCTACACTTTAATTTTAAAAGTCAGAGGGGGGAAGGGTACTGCTCTCATATTTTACCTCTTTGGAACTGATGATAGGTAAAGGTTTCACCCTTTAGCGGTTTTTGTATTAATTGTTGACTTTCATAAGGGCATATATACATTGGTTTATAGGGCCCGTATGAAGAATACGAGTGGTTCCTTAGGGCTCATATTATTGGCCGATAAACTCTTTTAATTTCTGTCAAACACTGACTAATGCAAAAAGAAATAAGCACAGAAAGCGTCGCACTTCGCATGCGGGCCCTATCGACAAATGTTAATGAGCTTGTAGTAATATATAAATCAATGACATGCAATGATCGTCTACTGGAAATAAGCATAGAGATCGTCCGGTACTGTGTCCGTTATGTTCGGTACTGTAACGTCACACGCTGAGGTACCACGTGAAGCGAAATTGTTCTAGCGAGGACAACTTTAAAGTCCCATAACATTTTTATTTATGTGACGGCGGGTAGTCAGAAGAGGCTATTACGTAGCCCAAATAGATCGTCCAAATCGGAGGGCTATCTTTAAAATAACACTGCAGGCGTGTATACCAATGTGTATTTATTTCATTTTATCATTTTTGATACGAAAATATAACGAGATGAACGTGATGTTGTCGGATGTCTTTACTCCTCGGCGATCGGAAACAGAATGGGTGCCAAAATGGCGGTAACTTGCTTTACATTAACGAACTGTCAAAGTCAGTGTTACCATTCTAATTAAATTAAAAGTATCGTAGAACACGCCATCCGTACAATTAAGTAATCGAATAACTTATTATTTAAAAAAAGAAACTAAATCAAACGATCTTTGTAACGATGATGGAGATATTCTGCGACATATGTAAAAAAATTACACTGTATTTTTTGACTATGCTTATTCCATTATTGTTAATAGAAAAAGAAATTTATTAAATTTCCTCATTAAACAAGCTGCTTAGATTAATAGACGAGTGCTAACGCAATATTGTAAGAGTATGTCAAACGACCAAGTTGTCATAACACTATATTACTACATATTTAAACGTATTTTTAAAATTTCCTAATGATGAATTTATTGAACCCAATTTTCGTTAGTTTTATTGTAAATATTACAAATATTCTTACGTAGGAATCTCTCTAATCAAGAAATATTTGATAAAATATAGTGTTAGATTTATCTGATAATGATTAAGATATTGATTTCAAAACAGTACATAAATATCTACCGTATTTCACTATAAACTTCAGTAGAACCCATAATCTAGAATGAATTTACTGCTAACTTTGGTTTGCGTTTGCGCAGCGTTTACTATATCGCGTGCTCAGGATACAAAGCTTGTGCAGATAAATCAAGGAACTATAGTAGGATATAAAGCACAGGATGCAGACTTATTTGAATTCTATAGTATACCATATGCAACTGCCCCTACGGGAACACATAAATTTAAGGTATCGTAAATACGTTATATGAAAATAATTCAAATTTGTTCAAAGTATGATAAATGATATATGTTAAATAAAATTAGTTTGTATAAAAATTAAATTTATTTAATAGTCCATCTATAGTTTAATTGAAATGACAAAACTAATTTTAATCATTATATAAAAGATAAAAAAAATGTTTTACGAACTGATAGTTTTATTTTTAAAATTCTATTGCCGATAGGTATAAAATAAATTACACTAAAATGTCCCAAAATATTGATTGGATATCTACTTAAGTATCAATTACAAAAAAAAAATGATAATATGTTTTTTTAGGCACCGCTCGAGCCACCAAAATTTAGTGAACCTTTCTTAGCAGTAGACCGTGGTATCGTATGCCCACAGAAGCCAATCCATGTTCCAGAAGGCAAAACAATACAAGAAGATTGTCTTATCGCTAATATTTTCGTACCTGACACAAATGTTACTGACTTGCCTGTTATGGTCAGTATTCACGGAGGAGCATTCCAGCGAGGTTTTGGAAATTCGCGTTCACTCAAACATCTAGTGAACAGTAAAAGAATAATAGCCGTGACATTTAATTATCGTTTGGGTATTCATGGTTTTTTGTGTTTGGGAACAGAAGATATTCCTGGGAATGCTGGCATGAAAGATCAAATTGCATTACTTCGGTGGGTAAATGAAAACATAGCATTCTTTGGTGGAAATCCGAATGATGTTACCATCGCTGGATGCGGTGCTGGTGGAGTATCCTCCGACCTTCTTCAACTGTCTAAGATTACAAATGGCTTGTTTACAAAATTAATTTCTTTAAGTGGTTCTAATGTTGGTTTATTTAGTGTTCAACTCGACCCCGTAAATTATGCAAGGAATCAAGCAAAATTATACAATTTTGAAAATGCTGATGACTTTAATGCGCTTGAAGAATTTTATAAGACCGCTTCATATGAACTGCTTATGTCGGACGATCAAGCAGAACATAAACATTCAGGTGTTGTTTTCTCACCTTGTATAGAACTTGATCTAGGTCAAGAAAGGTTTTTAGACGCCAATCCTATTGATATATTAAAAAGTGGCGATTATATTAAGTATCCTGTTTTATATGGTTTTGCTGACAAAGAAGGCTTATTTAGAATAGAATTTTTCGATAGTTGGAAAGAGGATATGAACAAGAACTTTTCAGAATTTCTACCCGTCGATTTATCTTTCAAAGATACCGAAGAGAGGGAAAGTGTAGCCAAAGAGGTGAAAGAGTTTTACTTCGGCGACCAATTAATCACGGATGATGACGTTTTAAAATATGTAGATTATTTCACTGATGTGATGTTTGTTTACGGTATTCTGAGATCAGTTACGTTACAAGTTGAAGCTGGTAATAGTGAACTATATTTACATGAATATTCAGTTGTACATGAAGACTTACCAATAATACCATACGCTGATAATCTTAGGGGAGCTACACATTGCGCCCAATTACATGCTGCCTTTGATGAAGACGAATCTAGTCTTTCTAATGAATACAGGAATGCAAAATCAATTATGAGAGATATCTGGATCAATTTTATTACAACTGGGTGAGGCTTTATATTAGTTACATAACAATATGTGTAGTTTTTTTTTTCAAGTCCCCAATATTTAGGCGCTGTTACCAGCGCAATGCGGTTCGATGTTATTGGCAGATAAATCGAGTAACTTGTTTCCAGTCTATTACTTAAACAAGCTTCTATTATTTAAAAAGAGCATTAAGCAAAAGCATTTTTTATTTGATAAAAAAATGGAATTAGATTATAATAAGGTGATTTTTATCATCATCATCTCCAGCCCATTAATGTTCTGGTTTTCTCTATGTTGAAAACGAATAGGGAGAATGGGCCATGACTCCCGCGGGAGTGCGGATTGGTGGTGTTAACGATTGCGGAGGCAGCTGGGACCAACGGCCCAAGCACGGAGGAGTTCGAGATAATTTTTATTCACCCATCCTAGGACCACATACAGAAATAAATTTTAATTGACTTATTTGTAAAATTCATTAAATTATTTCAGAACTCCGACACCAGACGAGTCATCTGTGATTCCACGGTGGGTACCAGCTAATGCACAACGATCGCCTTATATGAGTTTTGGTGAAGAGGTGCGTCTGATGGACTCCCTGATACCACAGCGAGCTAAATTTTGGGACGATCTCTACGAACGATATTATCGTAATCCTATACCACCGACTGAAGCTTTAAACAATTATTCAATACGCATTAATCTGTCTTCATTATTATATTTTATTTCTACTTTATTAATGTTATTGGATCTTATTACTTTATTATAGTATAGAAATAGATAATAATAATAAGGACCCTGTTGAGTACTGTAAAAAAAAGAAAGATAATTATTAATTTTTGACATTAATTAAGTTCGCCATTAAAATTTAAAGTTAATAACTATCTTTTATTTTAAACTAACCGTTTTCTCATGACTTTTCTCTAGTAATTTATAGCCTGTAGATATAGCTTCCCGTAGCTGAAAGAATTTTCATAACAGGATCACCATTTCCGAAGGATGAACTCTGTAATTAAAGAAAAAAATTAAAAATTTCTCTTCTATGTAATATTTGTATAGATATATACAAATATTACATAGAAGAGAAATTATAGATATATTAACTGTTTGTGCTTGAACTTTTCCTTCCTTACTTCTGTATTATATGTATAAACTGTTTATGTGGACGTTGTTAATAAACATTGTATTTTATCACGTAAGTTGAACAATCATTTTCAACCCTACATATTTATACAAGATTTAGTGGTACGGTTAACATCATTCCTCCACCATCACCACTAAACCCATAATGTTTTGTAAAGCCACAAACCACAACGTACCATTATTCATTAAAAACAAAATGGCGCATGTTACATTGTACCTAAGTCAGATTGTGTCTGAACAATTGTATTGGCGGTTACTTTCAAGAAAAGTTTGTTTTTATACTCATATTGTACCTAAGTCAGATTGAGTCTGAGTAATTGTAATGACGGTTACTTTCAAGAAAAGTTTGTTTGTAAGAATTTTGTTTTATTTTAATGAGGTAGTATTTAAAAAATAACGAAAGCACTAAAAAAGCACCTCTACTAGATGGCGACTCTAGCAAAAGTTGATATTTGCAGGAAACGAATGGACCAAAGACAGTCATTTTCGTTCCTTTTAACTTACATATTAAAAAACTGAAATTTGAAAAGTTCATAACTTAGATATCAATACAAATACGAAAAAGTACAAATAGAATATGAGTTGTTTATTGAGTTTTAAAAACTGATTTACTTCTAAACATGGAAGAAAACCGGAAGGGTTGTCATGGAGAATTCAAGAACGTACTACTTCCTCATTACACATATAATCTCAAGCGCCTCAAAAAATTTTACTACAGACCCCGTTCTGACTTAATCCGACATTGTGAATAACTCATTGGTTAGCACAGATATACTAGCGATTAGTTGCTTGTTATCTCAAGTATAGTAATCTCACACCCTCAACAAAAATTTGCCCCCAAAGGGTGCGTCTAGTTTATCATAGTTTAATGGCGTGGCGTGGAAATAAAATATAATCGACTTAAAAGTAGTTTTTCAGATTTTTTGTTACATTTTTGAACTCAGGTTCAGTAACAAAAGTGTTTTAGAATCTATAGTGAGGTCGACATCGTTACGGCGTTGGAACATTAACAGTGCTATTTTAAACAAGGTTAAGCTGCAGAGTAAATTTACGCTAAAATTGCAATTTTAGTATTAGTCCATATTCATATTACACAGAGAATAAGCAAATCTACGATCTTCTAGGAGCAAATATTACTCCCGTAGAACCTCGTTCTAGGTTAACCTTTGTTAAGTCTCTGTTTTATAATATGAATTTTGACTAATACGAAGAGCAGTCTCAGTGTAAATTGATTCCAACGCTTAATTTTGTTTATAAGTAGCACTGTATAAGTATAAACAAGAAAATCAGTCATACTGAGAATTCAGAGCTATATTGTTTAAATGGTTATAATTACTGAAAAGATGACACAATATTTGTTTTTTTTCCGTTTTAGATGTACAAACTTCAAAATTTCTTACAGACAGAGTTATCGCTTTGAATCGACAGACAGATTCGATTTTCCCGAAAATAATTTTCTTTTTTTGCTTACCGTAGCTGATCGTCAATGTAGTATCATAGCCACCAGCCGCAAACCTAACCGGGTGGTAAGTAAATTTAAAAATAGAATTCTAGTGATTGCGTTTGATGATAAAGTTTATCAACGTGCGAAACGCACTTAAATCGTCAATTTAGTTTTAAGAGGCAAGATGTGGACATGTCTATATTTGTTGTCGGTGGCGTGTATAGTTTTTGTGTGTTCTGAAAAAAACGTCGAACGAGTTGTACGTACTCCTCAAGGCCCAGTTCGAGGTTATAAAGATTCAGAAGATGATATATTTGTGTTCTATGGCGTACCATATGCCACCGCACCTACTGGACCGAGAAAGTTTACTGTAAGTATTATTTAGGTAATAATATATGAATAAAGTTATACTTTACTTAAGCATAATATTTAAAGGTTCCCCCTATTCGTTTGCATAAAATGTCAAGACATAAGATAGCATACTTTTTTCGGTGCTCATTCTATTTGCGCATAACGTACGTCCGTTTATCGGCTTATGCATCATTTTTATTTATTATGTATAAATATGATACATATTTAAGTTTAATTTTAGGATGAATTAAGAAAATATGCAAATTTCTTCCAACATAAGTTATCTCATTCACAGTGATCGGTTCTTTATGCGAATTTAAATTTATAATTCTCGATGGTGGTTAAGTTGGTTCCCCATTAAATGATAATCGGCTTAAAAATCGCCGGATAGCATAACATATGGGAGCTACCATTTTGTTGCGGATGTTTAGGTTAATACATAAGTAATACATAAAAAATTTGGATATCGATTACATAACACTCGAGATGAGATTCGAACCCATAACTTTTCGCAATTTGGGCGATTACTCATGGTCATGGGTTCGAGTCCAATCTCAGAGTGCCAGGGACAAAGTGGATTTTTCAAACATTTTTCATTAAGACTATTTTTGAGTATAGCATTCATCAAATAGAATACTTGTAGTAAAGCTAACGAATTGAATATGTTTTGTTATTTTAGGCACCACATCCTCCTCCAGAGTGGCTAGAAACATTTGATGCAGTTGACAAAGGTGTGATATGTCCACAGTACAAAGAAGACTGGTTGCAAGACAAAACTATGCAAGAAGACTGTTTGATTGCTAATATATATGTACCAAATACTCACAAAAAGGATCTACCAGTAGTAGTCTATGTACATGGTGGTGCTTTCCAACGTGGACATTTAGATCGTGTTGTTCCAAAAAAGTTAGTGAACAGCCAGAAAATCATAGCAGTTACATTTAATTACCGTTTAAGCACACACGGATTTTTATGTCTCGGTACTGACGATGTTCCTGGAAATGCTGGTTTGAAGGATCAAATTGCACTTCTTCGGTGGGTACAAAACCATATTGCCAGTTATGGTGGCAACCCAAACGATGTCACTCTTGCTGGATACAGTGCTGGATCATCCTCTGTTCATTTACTAACATTGTTACCAGCTGCCAAAGATTTATTTAATAAAGTGATACCAGAAAGTGGAGCTAATATATCACCATCTGCTATGCAGTTGGATCCTTTGAATAATGCGAAAAGTTATGCAAAATCTGTAGGTTTTGATAATGTTGAAGACTTTTATGCATTAGAAAACTTTTACAAGACTGCTTCTTATGATGTTTTAACAGAAAAGTCATCTTTTAACAGAACCGACAACACTTTTGTCTTTACACCATGCATAGAACGGAATACTGGACCCAATAGTGTTCTCATTGATAGTCCTTATAATATCATGAAAAAGGGAAACTACAATAAAATTCCATTGCTATATGGTTTGACTAAAATGGAAGGAATGTTTCGACTGCCATTGTTTGAAACATGGAAAGATGCAATGAATGAAAATTTCGCTGATTTTCTTCCTGCAGATTTGACATTTAAAACTGACACTGAGAAAAGGGAAGTAATAGGTCGTATAAAACAATTTTATTTTAATGGTAAACCGGTGACTGGAGATAATATTTTGTCTTATATTGATTATTTTACGGACACTATTTTCGCCTTTCCTATTTTAAGAGCCGCAAAACTACATGCCGAAGTGGGCCATGATAAAGTTTATTTATATGAATACGACTATGTAGATGAATCTATGCCAGTTATACCGTACACGAATAATGTGAGAGGAGCTGATCATTGCAGTCAAACTTTGGCCGTGATGGATGGATCTGGATGGTTTAACGCAAACGAAACAAATTTGTCGAAAGAATATTTAAATGTGAAGGACTTGCTAAGAGATATATGGATTAACTTCATAATTACTGGGTCAGTTACCGTTTTACTGTTTGCCAAAAATAATAACTTACACCAATAGAGTCTTAAGCAAACAATATCTATTGCAGCAATCCTGTTTCACCCAAATCAACATTATCGCAGTGGCCTTGTGTTGATAAGAGTGGTTCACCACATATGTCACTCGGAAGTATTGCAGAACTACGTGGCCCGCTCCTGCAGGATCGCATGGCCTTCTGGAATAGCATTTACGATAAACATTATCGATTGCCATTCCCCCCACCGCCGCCACCACCACTACCACCTCCGCCTCATACCGAAATGTAAAAATAAGTTATTTGTTGTCAACTAATTATTATTTATCCAAAAAGCTTATTTAATTAACTTCAAATGCTTATACTAAATCCATTTTTTTTTTAATTTTGCAGGAAGCCTACTCCAGCGGGATTTATATGAATTCTAGCAAACGCAAAGCGGTCTTCGTGAATGTTTTTTGGTTGTGTTGATTCTTTTTATCATAGTAGATAAAATTTTGGTTCGGCAAAAAATTTCACCACAACCTTACACTGATTAAGTGATATCAAAGTAATTAGAATGTATACAATTCGAATCGAATACCATATAATTAAAACATATAGTTTTTTATATGGTTCTCTGTTTTTTGAGCAGTACTATATTTCTTTTTTAATGTATCAAGTTTGGATTAGAATTTTTAAATTATAATAGTATGTATACTCATGAAATGGTCATTATTAGTTAACTATCCCAAAGTTCCTTAATTTTCCTTGAATTTGTCCTATACAGAATACAACATTATTATCAGAAAGTTCAAGTACCTACTTATGATAAATTTAACTATATGATATTGGCAATGACGTGCTTATCGTTGAAAGCGTTTCAAGAGGAATCATGTCACACAGTTCTTTTTATAGATCTATGAGTACGATTATACAATATATTACAAAAATAAGTCTATTTTGATTAAATTTTGCAACATTTACCTACAAAGTTTATGAATATTTGTAATTGAGAGTTTCCATCCTATTATAAAATAAGAACCAAAATTAGCGCTAAACCATGCGCTTAATACGCTACACAAACCATTTGCCTAAAGCAAATCGACAATGAGAGAAGAGAAAACATTAAAATTGAGTCGATCAAATTAAGTAAAAAACTACGACCAAATTAAGTATATAATTTAATTTGGTCGTAGTTTTTTTTATAATATTACGGTTTCGTTATATACAGTTGAAATCACATCAAGTTACCATATAAATTAAAATTCCTTTAAACGATTTTGAACGATGGCCTGTTGACATTTTAGTTCAAAATTTTTTATTTACTAATCGTTTATTTCTTTGGTTATGTATATTAGTAGTGTGGTCAAGTGTGGTTTAGTTATTCCGAGGAGTTGCTGGGTGTATAACTACAGAAATAAATGGATATATAATGTGCGTGGTGTTGTGAAATTTAAGACATCTACAGGCGATTATTTTTCATTCTTGTTTTCTTCCTAAATAAATTAATTTATGTAGTATTTTTAAATCATTTGCTTTCTTGTGGAAACAGCAGAGAATATAAAAGTAGAGTAGAAGTAGCATGGTGGCTGTTATGTGAAACCGACTGTTACCAAATTCACACCATGAAAGTTGCTGAATATATATCAACCCTATGTATAATAATTTCAAAAAAGTGTAAAGTATATTACAATTTAATTAAAAATCGACCTTATTACGATCATAAAGATGTTTCAATTTTACCTATTTTAGCAGTCGATCAGTGTTGGGAATCAATATTTATTCCTTTATATAACAAGAAAACTTAATAAAAATAACATTTTAGTTTTGAGTTTGAATCTAATGATAATGGTATGAAATGATAATATGATTTTTAAAACATGTAAAGAAAATAGTTAAAGAATATAACAAGAGACTATATTAGTTCAAATCTCACAAGGACCCGTGAGAGGTTTTAAGCACTTGGAAGATGACGTCTTTATTTTCTATGGTATACCTTACGCGACTGCTCCTTCAGGTCCGGACAGGTATAAGGTATAATCTATATTTGTAATATAAAGAGATAAAATTATTTGTGGGTGTAATATTCGCAAATTCTGTTCTATCAAAAATGAAAATTCTTTCTCATATGCGAAGCTATATCATACACCATCACGGGATATTATCTAGTTAAAAATAATTCATATTTAAATATGCAGTTATAATATGTAAGTAGGTAAGTAAATATCGAGTTACCTAAAATTCTGTTTAGTTAAACCAATTCAAAGTAGGTACTTAACTCGCTATTCTTTTGCAATCAGGGGTATTTAAAAAATCATCAATTTTATGTACATAATCAACTAATCAATTTACCTACCTACTTTAACTATTTACCTACGTATACTTTAATAATTGTTCAAAGTACACACCGTTCCTCTCCAAACAGAGTCTTGCACCTTTTCTGCACATTGTCTTTTAATTTTGCGAGCATCACCGTGCCATTTTTCACTTGGTAAAATGCCGCTCTGATTTGCACTTTTAAGTCCTCGAGGCTTTGTGCTTCCTCAACATACACACGTCTTTTAATTTCGCCCCACAAATAAAACTCACACTGTGGTAGGTCCGGCGATCGCGCCGGACCCACGATGGGGCCTCCGCGTCACGTTGATCACCATGTATGTAACACTGCACCATTTCATAATATTCGCGATTGGAATACATTACGACGCGCGAAATGTGGCGCTGCGACGGGCGGTGCGCAACACGGAAGCAAAGACGGAAGCGCATACCTTCAAAGGGGTTGTGCGCGGGCGACTGACTGATGTGCGCCGACAAACTAAAAAACCGAGCAGACATTGTTGTTGGCGCATGCGCGTACATCCCCTGCGCCCGCGCCCTAGCTACCCCTGCTGCCTTGTTTTATTCATAACTAATGTGACAATGCGAATGTTATAATTATCTTGTAATTGCAATAAGTTTACATTTCATTTTGAAAATTTTACATACCGTTTTTTTTTCACATATGTGATCTATTAACGATACCTAATGCCTAGAAAAAATTTGGAGAGTCATTTTAAATGCAGCTGGTATAGACCAGACTACAATTCCTTTCATACCTACGCCATATATAACGTGGTTTTAATGAATTATAATTACTTATGATATTATAAAAAATTACCCGAATACCTAAAGAACGAAACACCATATACTTGATTTATAAAAATGTGAAATACCATTTACTCGATTTATAAATGCATATACAATATTTTGATTTAGTTTTCAAAGCCATCTTGTTTACGTCCAGAAATTTTATACGCAAGCACGGCGTACTAGCCACGACTGGTGAATTGCCACTCGCGCCTTGAACTTCTATAACTTCGATAATTTTGTAAGTGTGTGCGTGCGATTACGCATACGCACGGGCGCGCTCACAAACCGTATGCATATACGCATACGGTTTGTGAGTATTCGGTGCGTATGTTTGAAGAGCACTTTTATACTCTGGTTAAAGTCTGACTTAAACGGAGATATCCCGCAGCCCGCGAAATGGGTTGTAGGGTGTTGCCAACTTTGAAACGCACGCTCTATGTGGTAAAAAGAAATTGTTTTTTTGACATTTGTTATTTCTGAAATAAAAAGGAATTTGGGAAGCTTTTATTAATTTTTTCTTACGCACGTTGGGGGCCCCGTATAATTGATACGGCATATACGGCGGTAGCTTCACCTCTGCATGATAGCATTAATTAATCCCACTTTGAGAATAGGTATCTAAAAACAAATCCTTCAGATTTTTGTAACCCGGCCCCCCGGTATTGTGACGGGGTGCTGTAACACCGTTTATTTCGTCCTACGTTTCAGTATGCAAACTTTTTGTCTTTGATATTCAACTTCATTTCTTTTTATTATTCACCTTTCGTAATTTGAAATTTTGACTAATCAAAATATACTCTTTCAGTCAGTTCGTAAAATTTCGTCTGTTGTAAACATATAAATCACACATATTGTAATTTTTTTATTAAAAGAAACCCAAAAAGCCGTATGTATTTGTTTTATTTAGCAATTCAAATTTTATATTTAGAGTAACATACGAACTGTTTTTATATTCATTTTTTTGTTTGTTACAGTTTCTTTTCTTTACAATACAATAAATCCGTTCTCAAGCTAGTCAGTCTTTTATTATTTGCCCAAGCATCGAACCCGTCACAATAGGAATGGTAAAAGAATCTTAATAAAAAAGAAAAAACACTTTCTTAATATTTTGCTCTGAACTTTATTTGTTTGACATATACATTGTATGTTTACGTAATAATCCTAACTCAATAGAATCTCGACAAACTGCATTTTACTATTGTATCTGCTATCTACCTCGATGCTCAATGATTGATATACAATATTAATATAATATTAATATAATAATATTGGACTTCTGGTCGATAGTACAATGCATGTAGTTGAGATTCTTTTGAGATGCTATTATTACGTAAACATCAGCAGAATTAGCTTGAGTCGGCGTACTATTTTGGTTTCACTATGATTCTATTATTATAATCATACTCTTACATTTAGACTCGAGTTGCATTAAAATAAAATTCATTTTAAAAATATTTACTCAGGTAAAATAAAAAGGTAAAATTTTGAATGAATATCTTTTCTGATTTCTAAAACATCCAGTTACCAATTTGCACTTCCGATATCAGGGTATACTCATCCCATGACTAAAAAAACGAATTATAATAATAGTATATTAAATAATGTAATTAAAAAAAGGATAATGCACAGAAAGTCGTATTAAAATGTTAATTAATTTTATGTCACATTATTATAAAAGAGATAATGTTCAACTCAATATTTCTATATAACAACGCTCAAATATGATACCTAATTAGATAGATACGCCGTAACAATGCTGTGGTTACTTATTGGTGTTACTTTACTATTAAGGGAGAGTGTAATGGAGGAATGGAGGAATAGTGTAATTAAACAAGGTCCTGTGAGAGGATACATAATGCTTGGTACTGATGTAGCTATTTGCTTATTACAACATTACGGAAGCAATCAAAGTTTTAAATAAAAGTTATAGCTATTTTAAATATGCTTAGTAAAGTTGTCATTATCTTCAGACTGAACATAATACAAACCTGGATGTAACTTCGTTTTTGTTTCTTCAGAATTAAGTTTAAAATCTGAAGAGTACTTAAAGGACCTAAAATTTTTGAAAAATAATAACTCCTTAGAAAATCTCAATAGATTATTACTTAAAAAAACTTTTGTTGAATGTTATCTTAAAGAAGAAAATATATTTATTTATTGAGTCTTGTACCTAAGTGACTTAAAGTAACTTGTTGAAACAAGGACAGGTAAAATTAATTTCATAATTACACTCGACGAGGAACTATGCGCGAGTCTCAACCGACCTTCCAAATATTGTTCCTCCAGCAACATAACGGAATCGCTCACTTCCACAATTACACCTACTCTATCTCGCTTTAAATGTTCGCAAATTAATTTCTGTTTTGGTTATTGGGTAAACCACGTTTACATTAATTTCGACATTGTAACTCCAAAAAATTTACACATTAAAAAAAACAACCAAAGCCAAATTTATTAATTTTAAAATATTGATTACAAAGTAGGACATCTTATAAGCATAACTAGGAAAAAAATCATTATAATATCAAAATTATTTCAGGCCCCGTTGTCGCCACTAAAATGAAAAATTCACTTTGTCCCTGGCACTCTAAGATAGGGCTCGAACCTTTCATCCAGGCGATTGCTCTTACCACTAAGCTACCCAAGACCTAACAAGGCTGACGAGTTTTTCAAGCACTTGTTACTTTTTCGCTGGATTGGAACATTGGACTAATGTTGGACAAACAGTCGAAAGAAATATTTTTACAAATATTTAAACTTTCGATAAAGGTGAATATTTTTTCTAATTATTATATTTGATTAATTTTGCACTCACATTGTTATACTGAAATATATTCTTAACGGAAGATGCTTATAAAACCCACTTTGTCCCTGGCACTCTGAGATGGAATCATGGAACTCGAATCCTAACTTTTCGCATCCAGTTGACTGCTCTAACCACTTAAATTTATTTTCTTTGCTGTTTGTACTAAAATGACAGCTATGCCATGGCCTATTTGGCTCACATAATACTGCATAATGCTTCCATGCAAATGCGCTTAAGTTTCAGCATTCCATATAAAAAAAGAACTCTAAAATTGGCCCCCAAAAACGGATAGGTACAAAATATTATTCAAAATGTTTACTTAAATTAAAACACAACTTTTAATAGCCTTTCAAAAAAGTTTTAATGATAAATTAACATTATTTATATCCAACACAATGTAGAACACGTTTAAATAAAGGACGATTCTGTAGAAATCTAAACCCGAAATAGAATTCACTCATGTGTCTGAATTCACGCCATTTAGTGAAGAAATTCTATTGATTCTATTTTTTGTATGAAATACAAAAGAAAGTTTATTGATTATACGTGTCTCGGATAATCTCTTCGAGTTCCTAAATGACATAGGAACTTATGCCACGAAACCTTATTACAAATTCAAGTTTGAATTTTTACAGTATCGCAGGCTGAGGAACATTAACACAATAATTAAATCAGTCTCAGACCTTCATTCATTGTATACAAAATATTAGAGATAATTTATAATATCGAATATTGATCGCTTAGCTTGTTGAGGTTCCCTGTAGTGTCGTTTGTAGATTTTGTCCCACAATTGTACGCCTTCAGTTATCAGGGAACCACCCAACTCAATCGTCTGTCCCAAAGACATGTGAGGTGAGGCGTTCTCCCCCGTCGGGGGCCACGAAGGCAGAGAGGAACCTTCCGGGACAGGTGCTCTGAAAACAAATTTACTTTGAATTTGCTTATACCTTATTTGCGCAATGCGCCACTAATGCCACGAATTCCATCTTATTGTATAACTAGCTGTTTTCCCGCGTTTTAAGACCCGTAAATTGTAGCCTATGTAAACCCCCTGTAATGTCCAGTATATGAATATTCGATGCAGACATACGAACAAACAAACAATCAAATATTTCGTCTTATAACTCTTATTATAATATTAGAGCTAAAGTTAGTGCTTGGTTTATAATCGTTGTTGGCCTCCTAAATCTACAATGTCAGAAAAGAACACGGATTAAGTATCACGACTCACACCTCTGTAGAGCGACCGCCTAATAACCCGGCGAACTTCGTACCGCCGTATTTTGTTTCACCATAAGTATTTATAAAATCTTATATACAAACCATGTCCTAACAAAAGGAACACGTAAAAAAAGAATCATCCAATTTGGTGCAGTCGTTTGGAAGTTATGCGCGTACATTAGATTCGCGCGTATGAATAGGTATATTTCTTTTTTTCATATCTGCGCGACTGATTAAAAAATCTGATTGGAAACTTAAAAATATCGGACGGATAGAAACAGTAATAAATAAAGATTTTTAAAAAGTATAATTCTAATGTTGTGTAAATTAACTGACTAATGACGGGTAATGTCCGAAATGTCATGCCAAATTATTACCAAAATTACATTCGTGCAAAACCACTGTTTACGATTAGAATATGAAATAAAAAATATTACAAAGAGTCCTATTAATATTATAAATGTGTAAGTTTCTTTGTTTAGATGTTTGGATGTTTGTACGTCAATCACGCCGAAACTACTGAACGGATTTTGATGAAATTTGGTATACAGATAGGGTGTTAGCTGACTTAGATAATAGGATACTTTTTAATCCACTAAACATTTTCCTAGGGTCCACGCGGGCGAAGCCGCTGGCGAAAGCTAGTATTAAATACGGCAAGCTAGTTTTCTTATCAGCGATTCATTGATGAAATTTAAATTACAACGCAATTTGAACTGATTGATGATCGATTACAATCTACAATACATTTGGAATTTATAAGCTGTGTTACTGATAAAATAACTAACCTATTTTGATATTTTACTTCTTTTTACAAAATAGCTTTCCGCCATCGACATCTCCCACGTGATCCCATATTTATGTATAGAATAAAATATGCTGTCCGTATGTTGAGATCTATATATCACAACGGATTTTCATGCGGTTTTCTATGTCTCTTTTCTCTATCTTTGAATTTGCTTTGAAGAAATCCATTGTTTAGTTTATAAGATCTCAACTTACAGACAGCGGGGAGCTTCTTTTTTTATGTTATGCATAGAGCCTTTTATAAATAAATTACAAATGTATGTTTTATTATTAAAAAAAGCCCGACTGCGTATAAAAGCCCCTTGGGAAGATTTGACTGGTAAAATTTGAATGGGCCCCGACTGCGAGTCGTTCTGTTCTGCATTAGAATTTATGATTTGTTGTATGTGTGTATCAATCATAAAACTATTTCAGTTGTGTAGTTATTTAGTATTACTTAACAGAATTCTAAACTACTGGACTTGTTTCTGTCTTTTTAGTTTTTATTTAAGTTAATTTGTTAATTAATTTTTTTTTAAATTCGTTTTTACGCAGTCGGGTTTTATTTTTGTTTTACTTTAAATTATTTATAATTATTTTATACTTTTTAGTTACGATTCGTTGAATTCGTTATAAGATGGTAAATTTCGCAATCTAGTCATTTCATTGAGGGAGTTAATATCGTTTGTTAAACAACTTGAAATCGTTATATTTCCAAAACTATTGTTTAAAATGAAAAATAATAAAAGGAACCTAAAGATGATTTTAAATACCTATTCAATGACACCCCACTTGACATAGTTCATCGATTTTTTTTTCATTTTGACAATATGGCGTCTGGTTGTCAGTGTGGTGAATTTTGATTACTGTCATATTTTTAGTGAGACTCGCAAGGTTGAGACAAATCGATTGACGTAAGAATCATCAAAATCGGCCTACGCATTTGGCCTCTAGAACGCCACTTAGAAACAAACATACATACATACATAGACTGATAAACACATTTTATTTTGCGTCGCGCAATCGGGTAAAAAAAGATCTAATTTTATTTCATTTTTGCTATGTTTGTTCATGTTATATGAATACATATTTCTTGAACGAAACCCAAACTGTTTGCTTTAGTATTTTCGTTTTCTTGTTTCTTTTGTAAATATTAAACGTTAGCAAATATTAATACAATGTAAACACTTGCAATATAAATGTTAATAGCATGTTCATTTAGATTAAATAAAAACTCTTGATATAATAAACTTAAATGTATCGAAGTCTTCTGACTTTCATAATTCATTTAAAGTTCTATTGGCTCTCCACAAAAATGCATTATGTCGATAGTTAGATAATGAAAAAAAGTAAAGTAATCGGAGTGGAGTACAGTGGAACCTCTATAACTCGAACCTCGTTTTGTCGTAATCCTCAGTAAGTCGAAAATAATTTTTATTCCCTTCCGCAGAACCCTTAAATCCGCAATATCTCTTATTTAGATTTTATAACTCGAACAAAATGTTATTTCCCTATGAGGTATTGATAGTACATATTTATACTTTATAACTCGAAATTCAAAAAACAGACTCCGTAAGTCAAATTAGTAATATATAATGACGAAGAACTTGGAATTCCCTGAACTCATAACAATAAAATCCAAAAGGAATGTTCGAGGTAGCGATGGGCGATTGTCGCAAAAAATCTAGACATTTGTATGTAATTGCTTTAAATAAATTTTGTGCCATAAAATTTAAGAGAAATATTATTTCTAAGCGCCTTTCTATGTCGGAATTTTAGTTAAATCATTTGTATCACGAAATTCTTGTTAAGTCGAAAACTCGTCAACTTGAAATTTTTGGCATTTCCCTTGACATTCGAGTTATCGAGATGCCACTGTATCTGAATTCAACGACACATTAACGTTAACCTTAGAGAGATGTTAAACTATCCAATTTTATTTGAAATTATTTTACGAAGTATAAACACATTCGATATATCACGTCGTTGACAAAGGGGAAGGTGAAATGGTTTGTAGACAAAATAAGCTTTGAGATTTTTTTAAATAGCTAACGTTCTCATTACAAGGCCTAGGCCTTGGCCAAGTGACTAGGAAGCTTTTTGTAATTTTGTCTACATATTCGTCAAAAAGAAACTTTGAATCATGAATAATTCCAAGGTTATATATGTATTCTGGAAAGTCTTTCTTTGTTTCGATTTTTCTATTTGTATTGAGTTGGAATAATATTACTTTTTTCGGCTAATAGTTACAACGGAGGATTGGCAGGATTAAGATCAAGTTTATTTGAGTCACAGGAACTATATTGACGTGCCAAGTCATACTGAAGATCTAAGGCATCAGATGTATGTAGAAAAATATTTTAGCTTCAAAAATTTCAAATAGTCTGCGAAACAGCTAGAATGATGGAAGCAAATTTCGATGACGTTTACGAATATTAAAAACAGATGTGTACACAAAAGCGAAACTTGACGCACACCACTCGACATAGCAACTCAACTAGTGATATAATAGCTACTACGGCTTGACATTTATTGAAAATGTATGATTGCAATCACTTAATTTACCTGTGATAAAATCAGAGCTGTGTTACCTGTACTATCTGTAATAAAATGTAGTATAAGTATGGTTTTAATTTTAACTGGACTTCTTCACGTGTTTCTGGATTGAAGGGTCTTGATAGACAGACGGACAAAGTGTGATCCTATAAGGATTCTGTTTTTCTTTTTGCCCCTTAAAATGTCAGCTAAAACCTTTTTAAACTTAATTTTAGGCATAACTCACCCTGTTTTGATGAAGTTGCCCCACAGTTGTCTCATAATGGCTTTATGTTGCCTATTGTTTTCAGGTAAATTGTTTTCGGTGATATTAAACAATTTAAGTCCATCGTACACAGCAAAAGATTCTGCGGTATGGTATGCCTTCTTCACATTAGAATATGGAATAAAAGGTGTCAATTCATCTACATAATTATATTGATATAAATAAACTTTACTCCCAGCTTTCACATGATACTGAACAGCTTGTACTGCAGGGTGAGCAAACATAACATCCGTGAAATAATCTACATAAGATACTACGGTGTCCTCACTAACTGTCTTATTTCCAAAATAAAATTCTTTGATATCTTTCGCGATTTTCTCTTTTTGTTTCTTATTTATAAATTGAAGATTAGCTGGCAGGAATTCTGAAAAATCGTCATTCATCTCGTTTTTCCACTGATCGAATATACCGATGTTAAGTAAACCGTCTCCATTAGTAAAACCCGCAAGATAAGGAAGTTTTTTATAATTGCCTCTTTTAAGAATATCATACGGACTATCAGCAAGGAAAACTTCTTGTCCTACATTACCTTCTACGCATGGTGAAAAAAACGTAGAATCTTTCTCGTAAGCAAAAGAATCACTTGTTAATATTTCTAAAGAAGCATTCTGATAAAATTCTTCTAAAGCATAGTTGTTGTCTACATGTTCAATATACATTTTTGCGAATTTCTTAGCAATATCGAGAGGATCTGTTTGAACAGCAAAAGATGCCAGAGCTGAACCACTTTCGGAAATAACTTTTTTGAATAATCCCTTTGCTAAAGGTGACAACATCAGTAGCTCCACTGATCCCGAACCTGCACTGTATCCTGATACAGTAACATCATCGGGGTTACCTCCGAATTTAGCTATGTTCTTCTGCACCCACCGAAGTAACGCCACTTGATCTTTCATACCGGCATTACCAGGTGCAGTAGGAGTACCCAAACATAAAAATCCCAGTATGCCAAGGCGGTAGTTAAATGTTACCGTAATAATATTATTGCTTTTAACTAAATTCATTGGCTTGAGTATGTTACCGCTGCCAACTTGGAAACTTCCTCCATGAACAACCACTAATACTGGTAAATTTTTTTCAGTAGTATCCGGTACATATACATTTGCAATCAAACAATTTTGCCACTTATCAGAATTTGTATAGAATGGTTCAAAAAGAGGAACAGTAGCCTGCGGACATATTATTCTATCATTGTCTGCATCAAACGGAGTCAGCCACGATGGTCCTGGGAGAGGAGCCTGAAAACACAAAAAATACTGATGTTAATTTTTTTCTACATAAGGCTAATATCTCTACAAAAAATAAGTATAATCCGATTTCCATCATCAATAACACATTGAAAAATGTCAAAAGACCGCAAAGCTTCAAAAGATTTTAGGTAATCCCATTCGGGCTTGAATAATATATAATGTCCAATATATGAATTAATTATTAGATGGCGCCATAGGGTGATAATACTGTAGTATCTATAATCAATATTTGTAATAGTAACTCAATCCGTGAAATTTATTTATAAGAGGATTTAATATTTAAAAAAAATATACAATTTTACAGATACAGCCGGGAGTCTCAACGTAGAGAGTGGGTGAGTACGACATAGTAAATTTTTGATCACCTATCCCATAACCAGTCCTTGCGAAAGTTGCTTAACTTGTGAATGAATGAATGAATGAAATGAATGAAATACTCTTTATTGTACACACCATAAGTGAATGAACAAATATATAATAATCAAACAAAATAGTACAATTGGCGGCCATATTGCTAAAAAGCAATTTCTTCCAGGCAACCTTAACATAGCATACAGGATACAGTTGGAAAAATTGGGTAGTCTATGGTGCCACCACTGAGCTATTAATTAAGTTTTACCTTATATCTGTCTAGACCTGTAGGAGCAGTCGCGTAGGGGATACCAAAGAATGTGTAGACGCCATATTCAGGGTCCTTGTAGCCCCTTACGGGACCTTGTGAGATTTGTACTATTCTGGTCTCCCGTTGCTGACATAGTACTGTACTGCATAACGAAGCGCAGAGCAAACTAACTAACAACTTTACCATTATCACTGTGTAGTTGCGAAATAGTAACTAAATAAAAAGTACCGATTATCTACTTATATATTATTCATTCGACTAAAGAGCTGTATACACAGTCGTCCAATTTAAAAAAAAGTGGATATAGCATATAAAGCAATAATTTTGGCTTTGTAGTGACAAAATTTAGTTCTAGAAAGATGTATTGATATTTTATGTACTACGGAACATTGGTTAACAAGTTATAATTGCATTTTTTATTTCAATAATCACCTGGTTGGTAGCTCGTTCATTCGGAAAAACGCAATGCGTGGTGGCACACTAATTTTAATAAATAAAAAGTTTTAATCGGCTAAAGAAAAAGTGTTGAAGTTAAAACTTCTTTTAGGAATTTACTCCATAATGATGCACACGTCACAAAAAAAGATAAAATTAATAAAAGAAATATAGCATTCGCGCGGGAACCTTGAATACGTTTAGGCGCCTTTTCTTTTTTGCGAATTTTTATTTTGTATATTTTTGTAACATTTGTGTAAATACTAGCCTGTTTGTACAAATAGAGAGTTGTACATATTATAAATATGTGGAAGGCGAAAAAACGTCGTAAACCGGAAAATCCTTCTGATGATAAAAACGTTTCGTCGTCTTCATTGTCGTCTTCGTCCGATACAGAAGATGATGATATTAGAGGAAAAAAATATGATATCTTCAAAGTCCCCGGATATAGCCGGAAATATTCGGAAGACTCTAAAAAACTGAATTTATTGTTTTCTTGTCCCGAAAAGATGGACTTAACTTTAATGATAAAGACCGGCTTGCATTATCTAATGCTTTAAGGAAAAATTGCGTCTCGGGTGTCCTACACCTAAAAGCAATAAATAAATTCAAAATTGCTATCACATTTGATGTATCCAACAACGCAAATGTTTTTTTACAAAATAAAAAATTACTCGACGAACTAAACTTTAACGCTGCAATTCCAGCAGCCGATACAGAAGTTACAGGGGTGTTAAGATCTGTTCCTACTGATTTATCTAATAAAAAAAATTTTTCGTTGATAGGTAGCTCTCGAAATGTCATTCAGGTGAGGCGATTCATGCGACGTGTGCGAGGTGATGATGGCTCGGTGTTACATTTGCCTCTACTCAGCTACCAGAATTTGTATACTTAGATTCTTGGCGTCACGAGGTCAGTCAGTTCATTCCTCCTGTTAAGCAGTGTCTACGCTGCTTGAAATATGGACATATAGCCAAATTTTGTAAGAATGCTGAAATCTGTTCTATATGCACTGGTAACCACAACTACAAAGCTTGCAACGTAAAATCTGATAACGCTAAGTGTGTCAATTGTAGTGGGAATCATATTGCCATTTCAAATAACTGCCCCATCAAAAAACAAAAAATCGAAGATAATAAAATTAAGGCTCACTCTGTAAAATATTCAGATGTTTTAAGGGAGCAAGCATTTCCACAATTACACGCAAAAAACATAGATACCCAACTTCAAAACTTAATGAAATCAGACAAATTTATGAATATGATAACTGAAATTGTCACAAATATTATTATTACTAATAAGGACCAAAATGTGCCTATTAACTCCAGTTTTATTCGAGATGTATTTAATAAAACTATAAGCAAAAAACTACCTTAACTCAATAATGGTTAATACCTTAAATATAGTTCATTGGAATGCCCAGAGCCTAGGTTGCAATAGGCTTGCCCTATCACAATTTTTATTTGAACAAAATATTCATGTAGCTTTAATTTCCGAAACATGGCTAAGGCCAGAACAATCATTTAATATGAAATACTACAACATTGAACGTAATGATTCTGGTAACAAACATAATGGTGTTTCTATTCTTATCCATAAAAGCTTAACATATAACAAAATAGCTACATATTTTGATAATTCTTTACAAAATATATGCATACGTTTAACTGTAAATAATAGAGAACTTAGTTTAGTAAGTTTTTATTCTCCACTCCAATGTACTCCTAGGTTTGATAAAAATAAGTTTGAAAATTCAATCTATTCCACAGCCTATGATTTTTGGTGGCGATTTTAACGCTCACCATACTTCATGGGGATGTGGTTCGGACTCGATTCGTGGCAGAGAGGTCTTAGAAGTAATTGACAATAACAATCTTGCTTTGTTGAATGATGGTCAGGTTACAACAGTTGGTTCTATGTCTTGGCGTCCGAATGCTCTGGATCTATCTATAGTTTCTCCGTCGTTAGCTCTTTCATGTGATTGGTCTGTACACGATGATCCTCTTGGCAGTAATCATTGTTAGTAAAAAAGGCAACAAAAGTTCTGATACACATAATAACAGTATACGTTTGCCCATCCACCCCAATTTTAAGATGGTTGATTGGAAAATGTATACCCAAAATGTAGAGTCCCTTTTAACAGACTGCAAATTAGAGAATTATACACCAATTGAAGCTTACTCTGCATTTTGTAAAATCATTAATTTAGCTATAGTAAGGTCGCTTCCACTTAGCAATCCTGCATCTATCAAAAATAGTAACAATACTAGGAAATTACGAGCTTTGCCCTGGTGGAACAAAGAATGTTTAGAAGCAGTTCATAAATCCAAAATGTCATATGTTAATTTTAAAAATAATCCTTCTGCTGAAACATATATAGAGTTCAAAAGATTACAAGCTTTAAAAAAACTTACCTTGAAAACTGAGAGAAACAATAGTTGGATTGATTTGTGTAATTCTTTTAATCGTTGTACCCCCTTGTCTCGAATCTGGAAATTAATGCGTAAATTTAACAAAACATATTCTTTCAGTAATAATAATAATGATGATTGGATTCCAGAATTTTTACAGAAATATACCCCAGATTATGTACATAATTCACCTAGTCTTCCCATAGTTGATCATTCAAATACTTTATATAACTACTTAATCAAACCCTTTTCTTTTCAAGAGTTGTTGTCTGCAATTCATTCTAGAAGGAATACAGCAACTGGTCTGGATGGCATTCCTTATTCCATGTTCAAAAGGCTCAGTGACAATAGCCTCCAAATCTTCTTATCCATTTTAAATAGTTTGTGGAGAAATAATGATATACCCGATCCATGGAAGTCTCATTGTATAGTACCCATTTTGAAACCAGATAAACCGAAATTGAATCCAAACTCATATCGTCCAATCGCTCTTACATCTTGTGTTGGAAAAATCTTTGAACAGTTGTTAAAACAAAGACTTGAGTTTTTTGTGGAACAAAATCGCATTCTACCTGCAAATCAATTCGGATTTAGAAGAGGTAGTGGTCGTGAAAGTATTTGCCAACTTCATCTTTATATTCAAAATAGTTTAGTTAATAAGAATTTTTTGGTATCCGAATTTTTCTATGTTTCTGGTGCCTTTAATAATATAAATATTCATGTGCTTTGTTCTGAATTGGCTTGTATAGGAATTCCAAGTAAAATAATTCAATGGATCTATAAATTTTTGACAGAAAGGGAAGTCAAATATAATAATAATTTATATGGTCCTAGACGTGCATCCATTGGAGTTTGTCAATGAGGAATTCTTTCTCCCTTATTGTTTATTCTGTATATAAGGCGTCTTAATTTAGTACTAGGTTCTCATGTTAAAAATTTACAGTTTGCCGATGATCTTGTAGTTTATGCATCTGGGAAAAAATTAACAGAAATTACCAACATTGTAAATAAGTCTTTAAAAGGTCTTTATAATTATTTTTCTTATTTAAATCTTGATATCAATGCCCACAAATCAAACTTAGTTACATTTGGAAAAATTCATAGTTCAGCCTCCATTGTATATTATAACAAAATCCCTATCCCCATTTCTTGTGAAGCAAAGTTTTTAGGAATATCATTTACTTAGAATGTGTCATGGAACAAATATATTGAAATTATAAGTCCAAGGCCTTCAAAGCACTTAATGTTTTAAAATCATTATGCAGATCATCCTGGGGAGCTGATCCCAAAATATTATTAATACTTTATAAGTCTCTCATTCGCAGTCACTTTGAATATGGGTTTCTCTGTTTTTCTGGTGATAATAGACTGGTGGACAAACTAGAAAAAATCCAAAATAAAAGTATGAGAATTATAACAGGAGCATTTAAAAGCACACCTATAACAGGTTGAATGTGGATTACCTCCATTAAATATAAGATTTTCATACTTGAAAGAAAAGTTTATTTTAAAACTTTACACAAAAAAATAATCACCTTTTTTTAAACTTGGTCAATTCACGTATTTCAACAGAGAATCTTTACATTCTTCAGAGTTTTTCTCAATTTTTAAATTATATTAATGGCTTGCAAATACATCAGTCAGAATTGCTACCTTGTTATCAGGGACAGTTTGAGAATAAATTCCCAGCAATAAATATTATCATTGATCATAAATTATCTTGTAAGCAAGATGTTTATAATAAATTTTCTGAGTTTTCTGGTCATTGGTTCTTATATACAGATGGTTCAAAAACAGAATCAGCAGTCTCTTTTGCAATTTTTGATGGGCAATTTAACTTAGGTACAGTTACAAAATTAATTCCAACACAAGCATATTTACAGCCGAGGCTCTGGCTATTCTTGCAGGTCTAAAACATATTAAATATAAAAATAATGGATGTCGTAAGTGGGTAATAGTTAGTGACAGCATGAGTGAAAAAGATAGAGATCTGGCTACCAGGTAATTTTAAAGGAAACCACGAAAACACCGTCACAGCCGTATATTGTTATTCTCACACTGAAGTTTTACATTTGTTTCGTAAGTCTAATAGTATGAATGACATTTATTTAAAAACTGAGAATTTAGAAAATAAACATGCCAAAAAGGTTTGCGTAGCGGGTCACCAACATGGCCCCCGACGGTGAGAAGCACCTATTTAATGTGGCCGGTGACCAGCAACGCTAACTTCCGCGTTGGGCGGCGCAGCACACCCCCTTTTGTGGCAACATCGGCCACGCGAACTACTCCATCTTTGCCGGGATACGTGGCTGTTATTTTCCCTCTAGGCCAGCTGCATCTTGGTAGTGTGCCGTCTGCTATAAATACGAGGTCGCCGACTTGGAGGTTGACTGCTGATTGGGATGTAGACCTTCGT